CAGTGAGAAGGGGCGGGTGGGGGCCATGAGCGCGGGGCCTGGGCCAGCGGGGCAGCAGAAGTGTGGGGTCCAAGGCCAGGGCCAGCAGGAGTGCAGGGCCTGGGCCAGTGCAAGCCGAGCCCACAGAGCTCCTCCACTCACGGGCTGCAGCCTATGCCCTGTTCCGCTCCGATAACACACACAACCATGGGGCATGGACGCCGTCCCGAGAATGCAGCGATCTGGTGGTTCATCCCAGTGCTGGGTGCCTTGGAGAGAGCCCTCACCAAGCCAAGTGGGGCGTGGGTGGGAGGGTGGCCCCACTGCTCCTCATTGTTCCACATGCCACAGCCCTGCTGCCTTCTCACCATGAACCCCTGGGTGGGTGGGTCCCTGACTCAGGCCCCATGGGCAGGGTGGCTGGGGCTATGCACAGGTGTACTGGTGGCCAGTGGGTGCAGGCCAACAGGGGCCATCGCGGTGGGGGAACAATGAGGACAGAAGGAGCTGATGCCTTCCCTGGCGGAGCCCACATGGTGCCTTGCCAGGAGCGCACAGCCAGGGCTGGCAGGAGCACAGGGCCCAGGCTGTGGGGCTGCAGGAGTACGGGGTCTAGGCCGGCAGGTGGTGCAGAACCAATTATCTTTATTTACATTAAATCCTATGGGGAAATGGGTTTCGTTTAACGCTGTTTTGCTTAGCACTCATTTTTTCCGGAACCAATTAAGAGCGGTAAGTGGGGTTTGCCTATATACTGCTGAGTGGCATTTCTATCAACAAATAAGGCCTGCTTGCACTAACTTTTTAATTGAACTTCCACCTCAGCACTGAAGAGGCTTTCAATCAATAGACTCACAGGGAATAGGAGAGAAATTCAATTAAAACCTGCTTTTCACACAAATCATTCAGTGGTGCAGTGACTAATACTGACAAGTGGTGTGGTAGCTCTATTTGGTTTCAATTTCTGTTTAATTACCATAGTTATTCTGCAAGTTGCCTCCCAACCTTGACCAACATTTAAAAACCATGTGTCTCTTACAAAAGGAGCATTTAGAACAAAATTTAATATAAACAACTACTTGATTCAACAGGTTTTGGACAAAATGCCATCCCTTTAGTTTTCTTGTAGTGTTGAAAGTGAACTACAAATGACTGCAAAGGCACTGGTGGCACTCACCTTTCTCTGATTTTTTTGCTTGACTCTCAGTTGCAGAAGTGCCACATCCCATGGCTCCAGTACAGATTGTCCATCAGTTTAATTTCTCTTCAGACGAAAGGGATCTCTCTCATCCAACAGCGTTAGAAGCATTCCCTTTTTGTTTCACCGAGGATGCAGGGAACCAGTCCTGTTTCTGCTATTGGCCCTACTGAGAGAGGTGTGGGGGAAGTAACAATAAGAAAGTGTTTAACAACATGGCATCTTAGGTGCAACTCAGCAAAATCATTTCAGCTTGCTATGAATTACTGCACAGCATGTGAAGTGGAAACTGATCCTCACCATCCATATTGCATTATTTTGAGGACTCACCACCAGCAGCCTCATCTTGCTGTTGCCTGCATCCAGGTCAGATGAATAAAGATGCCTCTCTTGAATAAATATTGGCAGAAAGACAATATATGCCAGTTTTCTCCTAACTGGAAGAATCTTTATTAAAGCTTTACTACTATGGATAGTAGACTAGGGAGAAAAGTTGTGATTTGAAAGGAAGTTGGTGGCGGTGGCGATCCCTGACAGTTGAGAACGATCACTTCCATGGACAGCAAGTACATCAGAACTTTAAAATACTGAAAATAAATACAACTGATATTGCAATGATATTAAACCAACCAATATTAGATACTGCACATTGTCTCTCTTAGCTCCACAATGCTGTTTACTAGTTCTTCTGAATAAGACGTTTCACTAATAAAAAACCTCACTACTTGTACATAATCCACAAAAATTTAATAGCAGACCCAATGCTGTAGAGTGGGTCCATAACAAGAACTCATTTTTACCACACTATATACAGAAATTGTATCTTAACCAGTCATATTAGCGTAACCATTTTTTTTATCAACTAAAGGATCAAAGTGGATTTTGTAATGGATTCTTCTGGGTTATTCATTGTGTGTTCACCTACACGCTAATACATACCATTCACTAATTTGCAATGTGGCTGTGAGTTAGTTACAATGAGATTTCACCATAAAATAAGTTGGTGAAATTGAGTGCTACAAAAACAATAATTGGATTTGTAAGAAAGTTAGATTTTGTTCTACTGTAAACCCTTATTTGATCACCCTTGTTATCATCCTCTGTTCTCTGGTTGTATATTGCTAATGACTCCCTAGCACAGCTAAATTAGAGTGCATGTTGTATGCAATATCCTTTAAAAAAGTTTTTAATACAAAGAGCAAATGCTGTCTCCAGCTGACCTATATGCTGATGGACAAACAACAGACTGGTACACTCTCCCTTCTACTTTCCTATTATAATGATTGATAAGCTAGGAGATAAAAGGCAAGAAGAGGAAGATAAAGGTACAGATGTGCTAGCAACTGGTACATGCTGTAAGACAACTGCATGTTCAATATAACAAATGAGGATGCTTTTGCTGCAATAGTTATTAGGGTGACACAAAAGAGAAGACAGAAGCACTCTTCTAAAAATTCTACACTGGGGTTGCAGCTGCCTGCTTCTGATTCAGTAACAAAGGCACACTTCACAGAGTGGAAGATTCCTTTTTTCCCCAGTAATTCAGTTGTTCTGAATGAATTTGTTCTGGGCAAATTTGTTCTGGGCAAATTCAAAAAGAGGTTGGATGATCACCTGTCTGGGGTCTTGTGAACCCAGCATTCATTCCTGCCTGTGGCAGGGGGTCAGGCTAGATGATCTGATCAGGTCCCTCCTGACCATAGCTACTATGAAACTATGAATTTAACATTAAACACTGAATAAGTGTTGTTAATATATAATTTGAGCAAAACAGTGGCTTTGATAAGATCTGTTTTTTTAGAATGGTGGTGGATTCATCTTCTCTTGACTCCAAGCACTTCATTATACTGAACACAATCTCTTCACTTTCTTCCCTTGCACTATTCCACATCATTTCTGGTCCGGCTAACACAGCCTGTCAAACCTTAAACCTGGTCTTCACATTACATCAGTGTCAAAGACGTTACAACGTAGTCTGTTTTGGACAGACCATCACTTCATTTAAGCTCTAATTAAAGCAGCAAAATGTACAAGCACATCTCTGATTCAACCATGAAGACTCTCACGCTCCAAATTCTAACGTGTAATAAATAACATTAGCATTTCACTTTGCAACACAAGGTATTGAGTAGCAAGCAAATTATCATTGCTGTACACAATTCTGGCTGGCCAAACAGCCCTTTTCTCCTCACCAACAGTGCAGATCTGCTTGATCTTTTGGCATCCTGAGTCAAGTGAAGGCAGAGGAACATATACCCAAGGCTGAAACAGACAGATTGAAACAACAAATTCCTCCAGACCTATGATAAGGTTGTATTACAAGCTTAGAGAAACTTCATATCAGCCTCAGTAAACCTTCCAAATCAGACCCCCAGAAGCTACCAGGGGTAATGGTTTCATCTGCCCATAATAGAGCCAGACACCAATCAGAGTTATTACTGTACTCCACAGCAAAAGTCATGTATATTCAGGAAAGCTTTTCAAACTGGCTGGCTCTGCTCCCCCTCGACAGGCAAACAAACAACATCTTTGCATTCCCCGAGTTTAATACACCCACTTACAAAAAAGCAATGTAGACTGACCCAGGGTCTCGAGCCAACCTCTACGAATCCAACCCATATCTTATCTGGCTAGGAAAAAAGTCATTAGCAGTCAGTACCACTCATGCCCAAAACAGCCACCCTCTTATACAAAGGTCTTCTCTTCCTCCTTCAAACAAAGAATAGATTAAGTGAATCTGCGAGAAACCAGTGCTTTCCAGGTACTGCTCATCAGCAACCAGAGATTAATTATGATTATAAGGGTGTTATAAGCAACAGATTTAGGACAGAGTAGAACATTAATTCTAATAGACTGCTTTCATTCTATAAGCACTGAACTAATTCTACATAGCGTAGCAGTATGCATTAAACTAAGAGTCAACATCCAGGAGCCTGCAGATCAGATCTTGCCCACAAAGACACTTTTATCTGGCTCACAAAACACACCAAATTTATATATCCCACTATTAGTAAGCAGCAAGTGGTGTGGTGAGTAGTGGGCATTCAGGATTGAGCCTGCAGTCTCTGGGTTTGACAGAAGTAGCTGAGGGCTCAGGCAGGTAGTCACGAGTAGTGAGGGCACACAAGAGGGGGTGAGCTGATGGGAGGCAGGCTAAGTCTGTCTGGGCATTAGAAAGTCACTGGAGCGCTGAGAAGTCAGCAGAGGCTCCGTAGGAGCCCAGGGTGGAAACATTTCTGGACAACAGGTCAGCCCCATTCATTTCAATGGGGGAGCTGATCTGTTGGCAAAGAAAAAAATGCTTCTAAGTCATGCCCCAGACTTCAGGTCAACCTCCAGACCACCAGCTGTGCTAATTCAGCCCCCTGTTAATAAAAGGTGGCTAACCCCTATCTTAAACAATCATTTTGCTCTACTGTTTTGGCTGATGAAATAGAGAGTCAGAGCTTTTCTTAAATCTATTAAAAAGTTCGCAAAACACAAGGAAAATGTATTTAAAAATAGGACATGCAGTCCTGTTAGCATTCTAGCTACTACCTGCTGACTTTTACTAAAGTCAGTTTCACTTCTAAAGCAGACAAAAATTTACTATAAACAAGTCAGTTACCAAGCTATTTCCATAAACAACTGCATTACATTTCTTTGTTTCGCTGTTTCATTTCACCAAAAAGCAACAGTAACAAGTAAAAGCATCCAGTACACTGTTTGTCTAATAATGCAAAGCAAAGCATCATTTCAAACTCTACTATATATGGATACTTAAGGCTATACAAGACCAGCACATACGAGTCTTTTTGCTGTATATGAATCACTGCAACACAAACTGACAGGAGAGTCCAGAAATACTGGGCTCCAAATCTGAGTTGCCTATAGCCTAGTTAGCAGAGTTGCTGAAAAGAATATTATTTTATCTGTAATCAAATAGATACAGATCTATTTGATCCATGTCCAAATTAGGCCCTCAGAGTATCAAGTCAGTCATCCAGAAACTGGAGCACTCAAATTAAGGACACTTTTGAAAAATCATACTTACTTTAAATTAAATTACTGGGTGGATTGCTAATTCTTTTGGGCAGGGCATGCATTTGCTTTACAGGTGCACTGTATGCAATGTGCAGACCTATCACATTTGTGGGGCCATCAGCAGTTGGATGTATGCTAGAGCAGGTTTGAGGATCTGGAGGTCACACAAATAAAAGCCACCAGGCCTTAGCCCTCATGCTTCTCCCATGATTCTTGCCTGCCTGCTGATGTTGTTTCCTCATCACTTTCGGTAAATTGAGACAACAAACAATTTTTTCATGTATTTGGACAGGATTATAATGCAGCACAAAGTATCTCAAATTGTACTTCCCCTGCAGATTGTTTCATAGGCAATTCCAGCTGTCTGAGATTCCTCCCTTTCCTTTCCATTCTGATCTGTAGCTCTGTTATGGGGCACCTATGAATTCCCCCAAAGACAGATGTGGCTGGATGAATTATGAAAAAAAGATGTGTTTTCCATAAATATCTGAAGGACATACATTTCTAATTTAGAGGTATTGCTTCTGCACCCATCTACTGCTTATAATTTGATAGATTAAAATTCTACCAGAACTTGTAGAAGGTTACCTCAATTGGATGCTTTCTTTTCTTTGGAAAGGAAGACTGTGGAGAACTGTTTTTATCACTGTAGTATGTGTGTCTGTGATGGATGTGCTATGACTTAGAACAAAATTAAGCTGTTGAGACAATATGGCAGCCTAGATATGGAGTACCCCACTCCTAACCTGTAACAGACAGTTTAATATAGGGGAAGGGTAACTCCTTGGTTCTACTTCTACTGACAAAGCTGCTCTGCCAATGCTGAAAACCTAGACAACAACAGACAGTGACAAGAACCCCTCTGCAGACAGGAAATAGAGAAACTGTCAGTAGCTCAGAAGAGCCCAGATGTTCAACAAGTAGTCTGCAAATTGGTTCCCAAGAGACTGGGGGACACCACGGCTGTGTCATGTTCACTAGGGCCGTGTGAAGCTTTGGTAGGTGATTTGATTAGGAGATTCAGCCTGATTTGGTGGCCGAATCCAAATTGAATTCGGAGACCCACTAAAAGGTCCAAATCGATTCAGATGCCTCCAAATTGATTCAGAGAGATTCGGCGTTGATTCAGAGATTCGGCCATAGACT